TTTATTCTGTTCTAAGTTTTTCAACTACTCCTTTTTTTTCCACAGAAAAAGCAGAAATGTATCTCTGCAGCTCTAAAGCTGTTTAGAGTGGAATCCTTGGCTCAGTTGCTTTATGGATCCCAGTTAGGCCCTTATCCTAATTATAGGCTGTTGGAAATTGTATGTAAGTTTATAAAAGTAGTGGATCAAGCTCTAAAATGCGTATCTGATGTAATTCTGAGGCTAGACAGTGGTCATATGAGGATTGAGGTAAGAGCTCTGGTATTAATTTTCAATTATTGGCTCAAATGCCATTTTTTCCCCAGTTGGGTTGACTCCGTTTCTTTCGTCCAATAAATTCCAATACTCTTGGATGCAAGTAATTTTTAGAGGGGGATTTCCTACATTTCATCCAATTAACTCAACCTACCTAAGAAAATTATCAGCAAAAAGTGTTTAGATACTGAACACTGGAATGACTAAAGCCTCATTCCAAAATCTACGTAAGTATGATTTAATCACTCCAGGGGGAAAGCAGCTAATTACACCCATTCAAAGATCTTCCCGTTTCAACGAAATGATTTCGATTCAGTAGATTGCCTTCTGTACTTTTACATGGGAGATTTAATAAAGTTTCTACAGCTAGTTTAACTCAGTAGAGTTCAGTTGAATTCATTCTCCATGGTGTTGTTACATTGCTGTTCCTATCATGATACCCGAAGAACTCATTTTTCCTTTGTGGTTCTGTACTCCAGGCCAGTCTGAGAAATTTTATGTTAATTTCCTCCTATTGGATAAGAAACGCCTTATTACCCAATGTAGTAAAGTTTAGCACAACAGTTGTGACTGTGTTCAAACAACTAATTTTTGGTCTACATGAGTAACCAAATGGCTATATTGCTCCATCAATTCTTGGTCGTTCTTGGACTGAATATCAATTGTAACTTATCAATATTTTACATTACTAGACTTTACAGTACTGTTTATTTCTATATTGCTGATTTATTGCACCATCCATTCAGCATTTAGTTTAAAACTTCCTATACCGGTAGTCCTCGATTTACGACCACAATGGAGCCCAAAATTTGTGCTGCTAAGTGAGACATTGTTAAGTGATGATTGCCTTGTTTTATGACTTTACTTGCAACAGTTATTAAGTCAATCTCTGCAGTTAAGTTATTAACACGATTGTTAAGTGGATGTGGCTTCCCCATTGACTTTGCTTGTCAAAAGGTCACAAAAGGTGATCATGTGACCTTGGGACACTGCAACTGTCATAAGTATGAGTCCGTTGCCAAGCATCTGAATTTTGATCATGTGACCATGGAGATGCTGCATAAGTGTGAAAAATGGTCATGTCACCTTTTTCTCAGTGCTGTTGTAACTTCAAATGGTCACTAAATGAACATTGTAAGTTGAGGACTACCTGTACAATAGAATAGAAGGTATGAGTTTTTTTTCCCCTTAGCTAATTTTAGTTTTTACTTTCAGTGTTAAGGAGTAAGATGCTGCATTATTTTATTTTTTAGGTATGTTAGGTAGGGATTTTGTTGTTGGAGAAGAATACCATTGATAGCCAAGAAAACAAATAAATAGATCATGGAAGAAGTCAATCCAGAGTTCTCACCTGAAGGACAAATGACCAGGTTTATATTTTTGTATTTTGAACACATCCTATGAAGAAGACTCGGCTTCTTTGTGAAGTCTATAATGTTAGGAAAGATGGAAAGAAAGAGAAGAGGATGATAGCAGAATGATCTTGGTTGTAGGGGTGATGGAGGTACTGTTGGATGACCCGAAGGGCCATTGGTGACAGAGCATCCTGGAGATTTTCCTGCAAATCAACTGAGATTGACTCCATGGTATATAATCAATCTTGATCTATTTATGTTGTACTTTAAGCAATATTAGGTTTTGGTCAATGTTCTGTAGCACATTACTAAAGATTCTAATACTTTGTACACTCTGTTATTATAACTCAACTTAATGTCCATGGAGATTCTCAGTCATCCAGGTCATGGTTGTCCCAAAGATGCTTTTTTCAAGAGCCAACTGGACTTTCTGGTTTTTCTTTGAAGACGTTTCTTCGAAGAAAAACCAGAAAGTCCAGTTGCCTCTTGAAAGAAAGCATCTTTGGTATAACTCAACTTGTTTCACTTTATTTTACAGTGTGGGATAGAGAATGGATTTTGGTACAGAAGATCTGCAGCACTAAGCTTTATGTAGAAATGGAACCACAATTTGATTTTGTTTTGTTTTTTTATTGAAAGGTTTTACAAAAAAACAAAAAATTTTCCTCCCCCCCCATATTGCGTAATGAATTTCATTCAATAACCAGGGAACAAATAGCATTGCTATTCAGCAGCAACTTTGCCCATTTTAAAGATGCATATGGTGTGCTGTTGTGTTATCGTGACCTGCATCACTTAATTTGCATTCATCATAATGATTTTGCATTTTAAAGACCATGGGCAGCATTTCTGAATGTTTCAGTATCTCCCTTGGGTTTCCAACTTTACCTGAATACATTAGTACTTTCAAGTCTGTCACATAGAATAGCTGCCAGAGGCTGATCAGGAGTTAGCAGTACCAGAACTGCTCATCTTATTTCCCTCCCTTCTTCCGTTTAAGGATATATCTCACTTTTTTGGCTCTTCTCTCTGAAATAAATATAGAATTTGATTGTATGTACTTTTCCAGTGGGGAAGGTGATACTTTTGAAAGAATTGAGCTTGTACTCATGTTTCTGGATGATTTTATCATTTTTTTTGTGACACTTCAATCTCAAGTTATATCCACTTATAATATTGTAGCAATAGCACTTAGACTTATATGCCTCTTCACAGTGCTTTACAGCCCTTTCTAAGCAGTTTACAGAGTCAGCCTATTGCCTCCAACAATCTGGGTCCTCATTTTACTGACCTCAGAAGGATGGAAGACTGAGTCAATCTTGAGCCGGTCAGGATCGAACTGCTGACAGTCAACAGAATTAGCCTGCAATACTGCATTCTAACCATTGCGCCGCCACAGCTCTCAAATTACTGAGACCAGAGTTACTGTTTGCTAAGCCAAAAGGTTGCTAAGTGAGTCACAGCCAATTTTGTGGCCTCTTTTGCCATGGTTGTTAAATGAGTCATACGGTTGTTAAGCTATGGGGATGCTGCAGTGGTTGCAAATGGAAGGACCAGTTGTCGCTTTTTTCAGTGCCGTTGTAACTTTGAACAGCCACTAAACGAATAGTTGTAAGTCAGTATGTGTTTACAGACATCACTGTTGACAATTTTTCCAGTGAAATAGGAACTCCCCTAAATCTGATCATTTTGTAAATCTCTTTAAAGAAATCAAAGCTGATTTAATGGCAGAGGTGAAAAGTTCTAAAACGTGTCTCCTTGACTTTCAATTTCCTATTTATCAGTGATTTTATTCTTTTAAGGTCTTTCTTAAGTCGATGTGCAGATAAATGCCTAATTTTGAGGGAAAAACAGTTGATAGCCTTGTAGTTTTCAATTGGCTCAGTAAATTTGATTCTCTGGCACATTTTGGGTGCTTGCTAATTTGTCGCAAAATTGTTTTCCTTTTGTTTGCTTCTGTGGTCACCTGTTTTTGTCACTAGGGTGAAAGGTTGCCCCCAATATTTATTTCTGAGTCTGAATATCATCATCCACAGGAATTTTGTGGAGTTATCATTTTTCCTTAATTAGCTCATTCTGTGTTCTGGATTTGAAGTGGTACCTCTCACTGTTCTTGCTTTTGTTCTCTCTATTGTTCGTAGGTAGAAAATTATATTCCCTTGGTTATTCCCCCTATATTTATATCCTCTATAATCAAGGATCTCATTTTCTTCATTGGCTTCCAACATCAGCCTTTAAACAGGTATCCAGTATTGGCTTTTCAAAGTATTATTTGCATATGCGAATAGTAAAACAGAGAAACTTCTATTGCATTTTGCCAAACAGTTGTCATTGCCAAGATTTAGTCAAACTTCAATTAGATCAATTAATAATCATCAAAATAATTAATAAAATAGTAATCAAAATAACAGTTAACCTACACTAGAGTGGATTTCCTTAATAACCCTGCCAATTTAAGATTTATACTTGCAACTTTTGTTCATGTGCCTAAACATTTAGAGTGAACTATTCAAATTATGTAGATACATTCAGTTATTGCTGGGTTATATTGTATGCTGCTATTTTTGCAGCAAACTTCTCTGTGGCATTTTGTTAAATAATCAGTGACCTATTTCAACGGTTACCTTTGGACGTTGCTTATTGCTCATGAATGTCGAGGTGCTAAGGCAACATACATTTTCCATGCTTGACTTTTTCTTCCATTCAACACTTCCTTCATTATAGAATTCCTTGCTTGAATTAAGCCCAACTTGTGCATCACATGAGAATCGAGGAATTTTCATATAACTCAACCCAAAATTTGTATTATTGCTACGCAAATCCTTGGAAAGAAGCCCTTCACAACTCACAGGAACTTAGACAAAGCACATTTCTCGGAATAATTAAAGCAGTTGTTGCATGTTTTTCTAGATTCATTTAGCTGCTTCATAAATCTAGCTACTTATAAATGCTTCATAAGCAACTGGGGGCAGGTTACGAAGCAGCTATGCAAGCTTCTGCAAAGGCGTAGAAGTTTGGCTGTAGATAATAAACCCAAATGAAGCCTTTGGAACAGGCCCTTTGCAAGAATTTCTGAATGTAGGTGCAACTTCTGCCTTCAAAGTGTTAAAACAGCCATGTCCTTTGAAAGCTGACCTTGTGCTTGGCACCGGCAGAGGAAAACATATGCAGGTAGATACAGCTGGGAATAGCAGCGTGAACCTTGCAACCACGGTATTATTTTAACACTTTAAAAAAAAAAGGTGTTTTCTCTGGGATAATGTGCTCCGTAAATCACCTGTTTTGAATAATTTGCACAGTCAGGATTGAGGTCATTCATTTCTCTGAAGTGTTTTTCTTGTGGGCATTTTAAATAATCAGAAGGACTTTCCTTCCTGTTTTTAATCTTAGAGCCCAGGCGGAAGCATCGCCTTCTGTGAATCACGACGTGCACGCGGCAGATGAGAAAATGAAAAACAGAGAAGTAGCGAATGAAGGGAGCGATGAAGAGAAAGCTCTGGAGTCCAATAACGTTTCTCAGGCAGAAGGAAAGAAGAAAAAACAGCGTTCTGGATTTCGAGACCGTAAGGTATGTCTTTATTAAACTGCATTTATTTGAATTAGTGGTCAAGAACAACTTTTTGACAGGTCATTTATTTTTATTTTTGATATCATGCCTTTAGCGTTTTTACAAATAACTCAAGGTGACAAATACAACCAACACTCCTTCCTCCTCCTATTTTTCCCAGAAACAACAACCCTGTGAGGTAAATTGGGCTAAGAGAGAGTGACTGAACCCAAAGTCATCCCACTGACTTTCATGGGTAAAGTGGGGCTTGAACTCACGGTCTCTTGCTTTCTAGCTTGGTGTTTTAAGCTCTAATAATCCCACAAATATTTTTGAGGCTGACGAGGGTAGATAAAGAATGGTTTAAACCAGGATGCAAATCAAATGAATCATTTATACATACATGTGGATGGGTTTTGGATTTTGGATATTTTTTTTTCTGAGTTTGGATGAGAGAATTGTGGAATCCTAGTTTTGATAAGTGACATTTAGGCCATGAAGTCTAAACTCTTGCTCAGTGTAGGAAATGAAATAATTTTTGGATGGCTGTCCAGTCTCTAACTGGGTGCATCTAATGAGAAAAATCCCACCATCTGTTTTGGTAATTGATTCCACCGTGGAATTTGTCATTTAGAGGTTTCTTCTGCTAATATTTAGTTGAAGTCTTTAATTTAGATTAACTACTCTGTCTTTCTACACTTTGGAATCATACAAATCTTTACTTTCTTCATGCGCTATCTTTTTGGATATTTTGAAAATTAAGCTGGAATATGAAAGCTATCTCAGAGCCAAATATGTCCTTGTATATCTTTTTATAGGATTTAATTCTAGTTCCCTTATCATCCTTGTTGCCCTTCGGTGAACTTTTTCCAGTTTGTCTGAATTGTTAAAGCATGGTGTCCAAAGTTGGACATAGCGCTTACAGTGAGATCTGAGCAGTGTTATGATCTCCTATGATCTGGAAATCATATTTCTTTGAATGCACCCTAACATTGCCTTTACCTTTTTTGTAGTCATATCACCTTTGCTGTGTCATGTTCAGGTTGCAATCAACTGCTGACTATACCATGGTTTTTGACAGGTACTATTATCAAACCAGAACTCCCTATCCTCTGTGGGACTGTGCACTTAAAACATCATTGTCTTTGCAGTACATCCTAGAAACTTCCCAAGTATTAAGGTGGAACTAACTAGTTCCTGTTTTTGTCCTTTTTGAAAATTGGGAGAAGTAATTCCCACAACACTGTCAAATAATTTACTAAGACTGTATTATTACTATTATTCTTCTCTTCCTTACTAGTATCTATCTCTTCCCACTTATTACTATAACCATGTTGCTTGTATCTTTCAATTTATATTGTTTTTATTTGTTTCCTAGTACAATTTGATAGTTTATTAGTAACCTTGACTATCACTAAGTGTTATATCTTTTTATTCTTGATGAATGTATTTTATCCTCCTCATGTACACTGAAAGTATATACAGCAAAGACAAATTCCTTGTGTGTCCAATCACACTTGGCCAATAAAGAATTCTATTCTGTCCTGTCCTGTCCTGTCCTGTCCTGTCCTATCCTATCCTATCCTATCCTATCCTATCCTATCCTATCCTATCCTATCCTATCCTATTCTTTGTTTCTCTTCCAATCATTTGGTACTTCAGTAGTTATTCACGATTTTGTAAAAGTAATATACAAATGTTCAGGCCATCATGAAGTGTTTTAGTACTATAAGATATAGGCTCTTGGAATTTAAATTCATTCAGGGTAAACAGGCATTCATAATCACTTTTGTATCAGTCTCAAAATTCAACCCTGTCCCTTCTTAGAAGGGAATGAGTCTTTGGGCTTGAGGGTAAAGGAAGCATATGGGAGCATATATTGTGTTTTGTTTTGTTTTTTGTTTTCCATCAGCAAATTGAGAGCTATGGCACAGAAGAGAAAAGAAGAAGCCTTTTCTGGAAATCTACAAGTGAATTTTTATTCATTTGTTGCCATTGAAATGATTCTAAATATGTGTGGATCAGGGATGAAATGCTATCGGTTCGGACCGATTCTTCTGAACTGGTAGTAAAAAATGCTACTGGCGAACTGGTATTTCCGGCGATCAACTGGGCAACGATCAGCTCTGATGCCCGATTTATATGAGCTAGGATCGTCAGATTTCCTGCTTTCTGGCTAATCTAAATCGCGTGGCACAGCGGATTCTCTCCTCCCCCCGCTGTTCTATTTACCTTTGCAGACTCGGAAGGTTCAAAATGCCCCTTTTTTAGTGCTGCGCAACAGACTCACAGAACCGGTAGCAGAGGATTTCACTCCCTGTGTGAATGACTTGCAAGATCGTGTTAATGTAGCCTTACACGAAAGTAGAATTTGTTCATCTAATTCTGTTTCCTGTCTGGTTTACCTGGGGGAAGGGCTGACATCAATCTTGCAAGTCTGAAAGTACAAACTTTTCTCCGCCACTTTTAACTGCTTGATCCATTAGGCCAGGTCCTTCCTATGTTTCTTTTTCTGACTGCTAAGCCCCTGGGGTTTAACTTCTGCCTTTTCTGGTTTTCTAGGCAGTATCTCTTCCCTTCTTTCTCCCAAGGTCATAGAGGCAGCAGTCATCAACCGATGTTGTTATTATTAAGGAGTTATTTTGTCCAATCATTTCCAAATCGAATTACTCTCTCTCAGCAGTAGGTCTCCTGTGGGAGATAAACAGGCCTGGAATGACCAATTAGCTTACCAAAAGCAAAGTCATGGGGAAGTTGGCACAGAAGATCGCAAGTTGCTTGGATAAGTCTCTCCAACAGTGCAACCTCCCATAACTTCTCTTCACTCATGGTGTGCCTCACCAGCAACTCACAGACCCCCTGCATCCTCCCCAAGCCTCACTGTACTCACACTATGTTCATCCTGCTACTTGCACACCAAGATTCCAAGTAGCACCCCTGAGGCTTTGAGTTTCCTCAAAGTTCCATTTTATTAGAGATGCCATATTGGCACATCTGGGGAAACCCGAATCTGAAGTTTCCAGGTTTTCCCCACCCAAAGGAAAGTTCAAGTCCCTGCCCAACACCCACAAGTCCATCACATGGTCCAATCAAATATCGTCCCAACTGGAGATGCCTCCCAGTTGCAGCCTTCCAGGTACAGGGCAAATTGTCCTTGACTTTTTGAGAAAGGAAATTTATTATGACTATATATCACCCATGCTCCAAACAATCCCCCCTCCCAGTTTCCCACAGTAGTAAACGTGGCAGGTCTGAAGGCCTAATGCAAAAGACGGCTTCCAGGCCTGACAGCACCGTTGTGCACCTTGTCAAGCCTAGTTGCGCTCACTGCTACACCTCTCTGATCACCTATGCACCCTCATGCACCTTTCCCTCACCTGGCAGCAGCCACGCAAGCCTCATGCTTTGTAGGAGATGACTAGGCTGAGCTTGACGGTGGAGTCAAATGGGCCATCACTTTGGAGTTGCTACGCTTCCACTAGAGGCCAACTCCCTGTGAATTCTACTTACTTTTATCTAGTGCCAATTTGCTTTGACTTAGATCAGATTCTTAGCATGAAATAAACTCATATAGTCTTTTCAAACTCTATCCTGGCTCCTGGTTTCTTGCACTTGACATGCTGCCACTTGAAGGTTGCAAATATTCATCAATAACTGTTGTGGTGGTTGTTAGTTGCGAAGTTTTGTCCGACCCATTGCAACCCCATGGACAATGTTCCTCCAAGCCTTCCTGTCCTCTACCATCCTCTGGAGTCCATCTAAGTAGCTCAATAACTGTAGATATCAGAAACTATCTAGTGTTGTGACCTAGGTTCACTTGGTCATATACAAGACACAATTAGTCCCCAACAAACCCATTTTATTATAACAGCTGAGAATTACTTCATTCCCAGCTTAGTCCAAATTAATTCCAAAACAAGTACTTCATAAAAAATCCTTCGGGCTTATCACAAAGCTTTATCTTCTTTGGCACGCTGCCAAAGGCCTTTCTTGGCAAAACCCCACGAAGTTCAGAAACAAGAGACGCCGACTAGAAACAGATTTAGCAACGTTGCTTTCCTACAAAGAGCCCAAGAGCCTTTGCTGCTCCTTATACCCAAGTCGTCCCTTTTGCTTTAGCTGTTCTTGCCTTCTGGCAGCTCTGCGCATGCGTGCACTAGGAACAGGCTTCTCCTGTTCTTCTGCTTCTCTGCTGTCCGACTCTGGAGGTTCCGGAGTCCGCGCATCACTTCCAGATGGCCTTGACCCCATCTCTGCCTCTGACGCAGAGCCCTCATCTGGGCCTTCCCCAGCCTCCAGGACTAGCCCATGGTCCTCCCAGCCTCCTCACTGTCCGCTGCCAGCTCCACAGGCTGCTGGTGGACCACAACATCTAGTTCCTCTTCTATGCTAATAACCATTTGCTTTAGGATTTTCTTGCAATTTTAATTTTTTTTTTCTTTTATGGTTATTATTGTATCATATGCTGGTCTTTTATTGTGTTTGGTCTTGGACCGCAAATACATTTTGATTGATTGATTAGAGTGAGGCAGGGGAGTTAAACTATGATGGTATTTTCTTACTATAAAAGCTTCACTCACAAAATAGGACTGATTGTCACTTTTATTTCAATGCCAATTTTAACTGCCTTCTCACAATTATTTCTTCATTATGGTGCTGGTTTTTTGTCTGCTCTGTTGTTTCTAGGCTTAATTTGTTTTTATTTTTTCCAAAATGTTCCACCATTTCAGGACAGAAACCTAATTTGGCTTTTATGTCTCTTGCAATCTGCCTGGAGGATAGATTCATAATACTGAGAGATAAATACGGTAGACCCTATCAACTCAGCTTGGGCCTTTAGATCAGTAGTGAAATGTAAAATCTACTGGTTCTGTGGGCGTGGCTTGGTAGGGGGATTTAATGTGACTGGGTGGGCATGGCCAACTTTTTTTTTTTACTTTTAAAAGCATTTTTTCTACAACCTTAAGAGGTTGCAGGAAAAAAATGCTTTTAAAAGCCTCTGACGATCAGGCAACTCAGCTGGGATCGCCAGAGGCTTTTAAAGGCATTTTTTCCCCCTACAACCTCTTCGGCCAAAGAGGTTGTAGAAAAAAATGCTTTTAAAAGTTTTAAAAAAAACATTGATGATTGCGCGGCTCAGCTGGGCATGGGGGAGGGCAGGGATTTTTGCTACCGGTTCTCTGAACCACCCGCCGCCATTGCTATTGGATCGGGCAATTGGGTCCGAACCGGGAGCATTTCACCCCTGCTTTAGATGGAATTATATATTTCTATCAAAACATCACTTACCTTTAAAAAAAATAATAATAGCTAAGCTATTGGAATTTAGAGAATTTTCACATCCGGTATTTTTCTTTTTAGGTGATGGAATATGAAAACAGGATCCGAGCTTACTCTACTCCAGATAAAATCTTTCGATACTTTGCCACATTGAAAGTCATCAATGAGCATGGAGATTCAGAAGTATTTATGACCCCACAAGATTTTGTGCGATCTATAACACCAAATGAAAAGCAACCAGAAAGTAAGTCACCTTGGATACTGTGATGGAAAATAGAAGGCTGCGAGGCCCACCAGTAATCCTGGTTATTTCCTTCTTTGTAAAAGTTGCTGAGATTGATTTCCTGTAGTTGTGCAATTTTATGCCAGTAACCATTTTTCAGTTTCTCCCACCTCATTTTTAATGTTCTCCAGCACATGGTTTTAAACAATTACTGAGATAATCTTTAGTAATGGACTAAAACAGCCTTATAAATGTTTTTATTGCAGTTAAGATCTAGCCAACGTGTTGTAAAAATAATGTGGGTAAGTGGCACTAAGTTTTTTATTAAGGTTCGTGACTCTTTGTGAGCATGAAGCTTTATAACAGCTTTTTCTAGCTTAGCATCTGCCATATTTTGTTGTCTGCCATTCCTATTATTTGCAAATGGTCTTGCGGGAGACAGCTATAAAATAGAGATATACATCAATATGAATTACCGTATTTTTCGGAATATGAGACGCACTGAAGTATAAGACACACCTACCTTTTTGGGTGAGGAAAAGAAGAAAAAGAAATCTCCCTCTGCCTCTGAGCAATTTTACCTTGTTGCAGCAAACTGCCTGCTTTACTTTCATTTTCGTTTTCAGCATAGCTTGATTATCACAAGGAAAAAAAAATCTGCTCTAGCAATTTACCTCTTTGCAGCAAGCAGCAGAGCCTCTGCACACAGCTGAGAGCAAATCAGCTGAGAGTCGGGAGGCCTATCCAATCAACTTATGCTAACTAGGCTGTGCTGAAGCTGAAAGGAGCTGTTTTTTCTTGCTGTTTGCTTGCAAGGAGGTAACTGCTGCGAGGCAGAGGCCAAAGGGTGGGGGCCAGTGGGTGGGCGGGGCTACATTCGGTGTACGTTTTATACTCCGAAAAATACGGTAATCCAATGGAGGACAAAGGTCTTCATTGAAGGTCATCGAATGATAGTGCAGTGTAGCACAGTATCATACTATTTGATCCAATATTGCATTTTGAGCATCCATTCCCCCCCCCCTCCCAAAATTAGTTTCTTCCTGAAAGGAAGGCAACCAGTAAACATAAATGAATAATTGCAACAGTTATATGAATAGCTGAATTTATTGTGACTTTTAATCTACAGAAATGTGGAGGATGTCAAAATGATCATTCAGTGGTCATTCATCACAAAGTAGATCAATTTGGGTATTTTGGATTACTGATTCCTATTGTGCTGGCTAAAGACTGCAATGAAGCATTTCATTGATTAAATCCTGTATCAGTATTGTTGATTTTTATCAACTTAACATTAAACATATTTGTAAAATCAGAATGTTGGAAGGGACCTTGGAGAACTTCTAGATCACGGGCGTTAAACTCACGGCGTCACGTTGCTGTCACATGACGTTTCACGACGTTTTTCCCATTCGCAGAGTCGGGTGGGTGTGGCCTGCAGTGCACGTGACGCATCCAGCCCGTGGGCCACCAGTTTCACACCCCTGTTCTAGATCATGCCCCATGAAAGGTGGGAATCCGTCTAACATCCCAAACAAATAGCTATCCTGTTTGAAAGTCTTTGAAGATGGAGCATCAGGCTGTTCTACTTTTTAGTTGTTCTCACCATCAGGAAATTCCAACTTATTTTGAGTTTGTATCCCACTCTGAAAAGTTTCCACATGCTGCCCCTTATCCTGTTTTGGGAATTATGGAGAGTAAACATGAACCCTGTTTTTGTGATAACCCTTCAAGAAATTTAAGGGTTGTTTTTGTCATCTTTTTTGTTGATTTTTTCTTCTTTAGGCTAAACATATCTAGTTCTTGTGCCAATTAGAAAGTATCTATTCATATATTGCTTCATTGTTATGGATATTGTTTTTAAATGATTGGCATCCATTACCACTAGATAAAAACCATGGCTTTCCTCATAACAATATAGAAGGAGGTTCAATATAGAAGGAGGTTGCTAATGTGACTGTTTTATCTTTTTGTATTGTCTATCTACTTGACTTGATTTTATTCTTTTAATGACAATTAGTGGAATTTTTACTATTACATTTAAGATGTATAACAGTAAACATTTCCTATAAGTCACCCATCTCTTCACAGAGCTGTGAAGGGATGACGGACATATATATATATTTAAACTAATAAATATCTTTAATTCAAGGTATTATATGTTAATTATGCTTCCAGTTTTTCTTTAAAGAGAATTCATTGGTTGTAAAATACATGATTTCATTCTATGGGGAAAAATCTAACCCATTTTCCAAACTCTTATTCCCAACTAAAACTTAAAGAAGAAAAGAAAACTTGAAGAAATGTATCCTCTACTTAAGGAAGTGTTTCCTCTACTTCAGTGTTTCTCAGTCGCTTGAAGATGTGTGGACTTTCACTCCCAGAATTCCACAGTCAGCCTACTCCCAGAATTCCAACGCTCTACTTCCCCAACCCCAACATGCTGGCTAGGGAATTCTGGGAGTCTGGAAGTCCACTCATCTTAAAGCTGCCAAGTTTGAAAAACATTGCTCCATACTTTCATTAAGCAAAGCATTTTTGTAATCTCTTAATGGCAACTACTGTTTGCCTTACTACATGAAAGGAAGGACATAATTTTTTTTTGTACAGGCCAAACTTTCTCAAACTCTGATTCCATCCAAGTGTGCTGTTTCCAGCTACATGATTAACGTTTGTAGTAGCTGGGAGATGACAGGAGTGCAATTGAGGTAACATAGCGAATCAGAGGGGGGGAAAAACCATACTTAGCTGCAGGTAAAAGAGAATGATATTGTTAGGAGGAGGTGGAGTGATTAAAGACAAAGATTTATTATACAAACCTGCAAAAGATGTTACTAGATAGAAAATTAACCTACTATACCGTAAGATTACTTTCCTGTATTTTTCATGTTTGATTTGATGGTTAAGTGATGCATTTTCTCTAAAGAAACTTGCCAAAATGCCATTTTCAAAATATGCTAATAAACCTGTTTGGTTTTATTCCCAGATTTAGGTCTTGATCAATTTGTGGTGAAACGCTATGATGGAAAGGTGAGATTTCTAAATCTTGTTAACTGCATGTTAATTGTCTTTCTAACAATGATGGGGTGAGGAGAGGGATGGGGAGAGGGAAAATATGTCCTTTTTTCTTCCTATTCCATGTATAAAATAAGCAAAGGCCTGTCCATTTTTCAAGCAGACAATATTCTTTTTTTTTTCTGGCTCATTATAATGAATGCAACTACATCTAAATTCTAAGGAGTTTTTCTACTGACTCTTATGAGGCTGTAGAAGCCTCAAAGTTTTAAAAAAACGGCTTGCTCTTCTGCTTATTTGTGCTGTGTCATTGGAGCAAAAATTGCTACTCTAATTTCCTCTTCATTATAAGTTCACATTCGCAAATTTTCAGGAATTTATTTTTTTCCTGCCTCAAAGAAATGGAATATGTAAAATGGCCCTCATTTTTCTCTTGAAAATGGAAATAGGAAGGTGTGCCCTTTGCTAATCTATTCGTTGCACTGGTATCAACATCCAAATTCACTGTATATATAAGGACTACAGTGAATTAGGATATTTGATATCCAGTTGAGGGTACGGTGAACATGGTATACCACAAAGGGCACACCTTCCTATTTCCATTTTCAAGAGAAAAATAAATTTTGGAACTTTTGCTGTTCTTTCTCTCTTTCCTCTGAGGCAGACTTCCCTGATTTTCCCAGAGATGGGAATAGGGATGGCAGAAAGAAGTATAATATGTAGCCACATTATCTTTCCTCCATGTCATTCTACTTCTGTTCTGCCTTTTTCACCAGCACATCTGGATGGTCGGAAGGAATAATTTAAGTTGTCATTGGTGACAGCTTCAAATGTATTCAATTTAAGGCCCTCTTGCCAGCTTTTATCAGACTGACGGGTAGAACAAGCTGCTTAACGCAATTATTGGTTATTCTGGAGGGTGGCATTTAATATTTAATATCAGTCTCTGAACGAACAACTTCCCTGTTTGAGAAAGAAGCACAGGTAATCCTTGACTTAACACTCCCAATTGAGACCAGATTTTCTGTTGCTAAGCAAGATAACTGTTGAATTTTAACAGTTATCTTGCTGTTTTTAACGTTCAATTTTATGACCTTTTTGCTATGGTTGTTAAGTGAATCACTGCGGTTATTAAATGAATCCCATGGTCATTAAGTAAATCAAGCTTCCCATTGGCTTCGCTTGTCAGAAGCCGGCTGGGAAGATTACAAATGATGATCACAAGCCCCACCCCCACCCCCATATGCTGCAACTAGCATAAATACATGACAGTTGTCAAGTGCCCAAATTTTGATCATGTAACTATGGGGTTGCTGCAATAGTTGTAAGTGCGAGGAGTGGTTGTAAGTCACTTTTTTCAGTGCTGTTGTAACATCGAATGGTCACGACACAAATGGATTCAAGTTGAGGACTACCTATATAATTTAAAGTGTGCAATCAAACTACTGTCAATTTGTGTACGCTGCTCTTTGAAACAGTTTTTTCCCCAAACCCTCCAATATAAGTCTTATGATATTTGGCCATATACAGACTTGTTCACATTTTTCTAATGTGTAGTAAGCATATATGCTGTAAATAAGCACAACAGTTTGCCCTTTTCTGAAATACTGCATTAGATTTTTAGATGTTTATTGTTTTATGGATCTTTGTGTCACCCAGTTTATTCTTTCATCATCATAGAAGAACAAGTGTCTTAACCGTAGTTAATTTGAACTGGAATTGCAGAGCGATTTTAGATATGTTTGAAAAGACAGTTTACATATCTCTTCATAGGAGTTCTGTTTGGGAGGATGGGCACTTCAGATAATTCACAGGATCTGGGACTTCACCTGAAAGATTTTGTTGTGCTGAAAAAAAGTAGATTTTTCAGTGGTTTCCCCATATCTTTTTTTTTTTTTTTTTTTGCTGATTTATCTCATTCATATTACTTTCGAATTACTTTGCTTTTCTGAATTTAATAGAACAGTTTCTCTTGGTATGCATTGCAGGAGAGGGAAAACTTAAATTAAGCAATATATGCACAGCTTTAATTGTCAGTGCTGTATGCATATTTATATAAATTGCTGCTTTTCCTTTAAAATCTACAATTATTTGAAAAGATTGTGGCAGATGGTGTAGCTTATCAGGAGAAGTAATTATTTGTGTAACCATGTCTGTGCCTTTTACAACACCCAGAAGATGAGATGTTAGCATATATATTTAGTAGATTTGTTCTCCAGATAACTGGGCCAGCTGCCAAAGATATATTGGAATCTCAGGTTAACCATGAAGTCAGCCATTAATTTTAAGTGCCAATGGTTAATTGGGTTAATTTGCAGTTCTGTACTGAGGTTATTATCAAGGAAAATAGGTTCCAAAGGACCATCTGTTTCCCCAGCCTAGTTCCTGAGGTGTTTTAGGGTACAGTTACAGCTTAAATTACCTTGATAACATTAATAAGAGCAGTGGTGGCGCAGTGGTTAGAATTCAGTATTGCATGCTACTTCTGCTGACTGCCAGCTGCCAGCAGTTCGAGTCTCACCAGCTCAAGGTTGACTCAGCCTTCCATCCTTCCGAGGTCAGTAAAGTGAAGACCCAGATTGTTGGGGGCAATATGTAAACCGCTTAGAGAGAGAGATATAAAGCACCGTGAAGGGGTATATAAGTCTAAGTGCTATTGATGTCTATTTTCCAACATGTGGAAGACACCAAGCTGGAGAAGAAGAGGAATGATTGGTAACTTTGTGTTATTAGGAAGAAAACATGGCCTTTTTCCTATAAAAGTTGCTTTATATCTCAAACTGGAGATGATGGTGGAGGGCAGTCTGGCTGCAACATCCGTCACCTCATTTTGACAGGGTTGACCCAACTGATCTGGTTGGCTAGGTGGTTGACCCCTTCCTACCTCAATGCTTCGTGTGTGTTCTCTCAAAGCTGCATGGTCACTGGAAGAGGACAACTAGATAGAAGAAAATATGAATCTTTGTTCAAGGGCGAATCTATGACCTGTTGCTTTCTTCTTGGCTCTGTTGAAACTTGAAGGCTTCATTTTTGTTGGCATAAATTGAAAGTACTGAACTAGACTATTCTATAGATTCCTTCTGTTATTGATATTGTAGCAGGGCAAACTGATAAATATCATTGATTTCCTCCCCTTTATTTGTTGCTTCTAAGGAGTTCAGCAATACCTGACTAGGTGGCTCAAGTGGCTAAGACGCTGAGCTTGTCGATCAGAAAAGGTCCGCAGTTTGGCGGTTCGAATCCCTAGTACAGGTCTCCTGTGTGAGCAGGGGATTGGATTAGATGACCTCCAAGGTCCCTTCCAACTCTGTTACTGTTAAAAATTCTTTCTTCCTGAAATGTTAACTTCCTATTCTTTTTATTCTGTCGTTCCTGCCATTATGATGTACATGATGTTTTTTGTTAGTTTATTTTTCCTATTGTTGTAACAAACCTTTGCTCATTTTCTTCCTTTTCTTCCTAACCTTTACCCCACTTCTCAGGATTTTTGGCAGGTACTGACTTCTCAGCATGTGCTTTAACCAGTTTGTGCTTCAGATCCCATATCCACCCCTTTTAAAAGGGACAGCATATATATATATTTATACACACACACACACACACACACACACTTACCTTTATCTCCATCATCCCTCTTAAAATAGAAGTTTTCTTTACTTGGATTGTGCTACTTAAACAAATTAAAATATGGGCCTTTCAAACTTTTTTGATAGAAAAAAAGTACTAAGGGGAATTCATTGCTAAGCTATTTCATATACTGTACAGGTTTTCCCCCCTTTTTTTCTTTTTCTTTTTCGTAAAGTCACTTGATGCCATTTCATCACCAGGCTTAACAGCTTCCTGGATGCATTTTATGAACATGTTCTATTCCTCAGCCAAATGAAATAATAAATTTTTCTTTACGATGAGAGAAATAAAACACGTTGATTTAAAGTATTGAATATTTAGGTCCTGTAAAAAATAGAAAGAAAAGAAAAATAGGAAAGTTGATTTAAGGAACGGGGCATGTTCCTTAAGAAACATTTTTCCAATATAACAAATTTCTATTATCAGTTTCCTTGAGATAATAACTTTAGCTCCTTTGACACATTTTTTTTCTCCACAATTTTTTCCTGAGAAACAAGCCATTTGAATTAAAAAGAAGACATGTTTTGAAATCCACTGTTGGTTTTTAAATTGCATTTCAAGACCATCCTATCATAAAAAGTGGCTCTCAGTAAATTATGAAGGAATTAGTAATGAGCTTTAGAGAACTGTGTGTAGACTCTACTTGAGATTACGTTAAAACAGAGGTGTGCAATTAATTTTCCCAAAGGGACACATGAGAAACTGAGGCAGTTGTGGAGGGCCGAATCATGTGTAAATTGAAAAAAAATAGTTGTCTTCAAAATGAAACATTGGCCAGACAAGGATTGTCAAAGGGCCAGTTGTGGCCAGGAGCTGTAAAAAGCCCAGGTCCACATTAAAAGCTGTTTTGCTGTTAATATTGTCTTTTTAAAAATGCAAATAGCATTAGCAATTCTGCTTCTATTGTAGAATTAAATTAGCCTTGGAAGTACAGTGGTCTAAGGCACCCTGTTATTAAGACCAGCTGCCTGCAATTACTGCAGGTTCGAATCTCGCCAAGGCTCAAGATTGACTCAGCCTTCCATCCTTTCTAAGGTAGGCAAATTGAGGACCCAGTTGTGGGGGCAATAAGCTGACTTTGTATAAATATACAAAAGAATGAAGGCTATTGCTTAGCGCATTGTAAGCCGCCCTGAGTCTCCGGAGAAGGGCAGCATATAAATCAAATTTAAAATATATATATATATCTCTTCGGCTTTCTGAACCTGCAAGCGTGAGATTTCCTTCCAGTGCAAATCCCACTTTCAGAAATGGGGTTTTTCTTCAATAGACATTCAGATCCCGGATATCACCCTTCCCCAGTCCTCCTCCAGTAGCCAATGCTAAAGGTAGTCCTTGACTTATGGCCACAATTGGAGACGGAATTTCTGTTGCTAAAGATGGGATCG